AAAAGAAAATAAAGTCAAGCTTCACGAAAATTTTTTTTATTTTCAAGAGGCATACTTTCATGAAAGTAATTGTACGCTTGTTCAGTGTTGAAGTAAGGCGAAGGGACTAAGCAAGATAAGAAAATCGACATGGCTTTACTTTCTGAGAGTTTTGTAAATACATATGTCATGTATTTGCCTAATAAAAGTTGTCGGACCATTGAATTCCGATCGAGTGGCTTAGTGGTAACGTGCTGATCATGGAACCTGAAGGTCGCGGGTTCGATACCTGGTGGGGTCGTGGGTCCGCACTGCTGAGGAGTCCTATGCCGAGACGAAACAGCTGTCCAGTGCTCCTAGGTTTCTTTTGTTCCTCCAACTGATGTCAGTCTACGATGAATAACAGCTTGAAAGATGTTTAACTGGTTGGTAACTATTTTCAATATTGTGAATGAACCCGATTTTATGAATTTTTTTCCGATTTTTATTTTTTCCTTATAAAATATTTCTTTTTTTATTGCTAAGTTAATGTGATGACTTCACGATTAATATTGTTTGGTTATAAGATGAATAGGGTTGTCTCACCACTTGCGGTTATCAAAGTTTCATACTCCGTGTACATTTGAAGCCATTTAGGTGAACATGTTTTCCCTCCCTAATTTACTGCATACCTCATTTACTCCTGTGTATGTATTTGACCACAGATAGAATCAACGTGGAACAACGCACATAAATGTGTCGGCTCCAATCGTTACACAAGGAACAGGTGGATAATAAAAAAAGACTGATATCGAAGTAGATAAAGTTGTGTGAGAGAGTAAACAATCTGAAGATAATGGCTAGTGTAAAGGGTCTGTGCCATTGTGACGTGTCTATCCATTTCACCAAGAATTAGTCATCAACCACTGATTCCTTATGTCTCAGGTACCCCAATCGCAACTAGGCAGTCTACATCTCCGAACATGACACTGACCAACACAGTTAGAGGGACTTCATTGACTGGTGTCACCCTGAAACCTGTTCCAGCCTAATCCAACTTCGTGTAGCATGGTACGTCGAGGTAGGCGGTGACTTGGCATGCGCAATACATGTCCAAGACATGTCAGTCGACTAGGATTAGCAACGTAATGAATCAACTTTCCTATATTGACCAGTACTCTTTGCCTGATCTGAACATTGCTCATATGATGATCCCACCAAACGCTTATAATCAAAACCCCTTTATATTTTCCACTTTGAATGGTAATGTCTCACAATCGTACAACAGGACAGAACGGACTGCTGTGTAGTATACTCTTTCTTTGACAGACCAATCAGATATCTCATCAGTTAGCACCACAGATAATGCATGCTGGCAAATGTCAAACGAGTCACACACATGTAAACACAACGGGATGTGACGTATTTATTGATGCAGTGTTTAGGTTTGTGACGAAGCATACGCTTTCCTAATAGCTGATGTTAGCCTATGGCTGAAAATTATGCTATTTAACTCCTATTTGTATGATAGAGTGATCTGGACTCTTTTCTCATGAACCATGTATACGGTTGACTTCAGTGCTCTCTGACGTCTACAGCAGTTTATAAACTTCAACGGATATACGTTTTTCGTAAGTATTTTGGTCAGTAATTTGATATATTTACTCATGGTAGCTGATGTATTCTACCATACCATAGATCCTATTCAACAGGAATTTTATTAAGCCTCGCTTGTATTGGGGTTGGATAAAAACTGTGAAAATTCAGGTATTGTACTGTTCATATGGGCTTTCTGCAGATTGACTGCCTTATTGATTCATCTTCTCATCGAGTACATTCAAGAATGGTAGATTATTAGTCTATTCCTCAAAAGTCAGGCTAATATGAGTTTGTACATTGTTAAGTCTTTTTAGTACATAAACCATATCCTCATACCTATAACAACTCGTTACGTTGCCACTGACATGTCTCTTGTAAACAGAAACCTTAGCGATGAGATTCACCAGCCAGTTTTTCAATATATAATACATACATATATCAGCTAGTAATGGTCCTAAGAGACTTCAAAAACCGATGGAGTGTGAAACTTTGATAAACCCAGGTAGGAGAGGAATGTCTTGATGTATAGGCAAACATATCATAGAAATAGGTCACAAAATCAATGTTTAAACACCTCAAGAATAAAACATTCCGATTAGAGAATGCTACCACCATCAAAATTATTCTCCAGAACTACAAATACTCATCATCATATCTCCATACTCGTTGATTTGCATGATCATATAAAAAAAACATGTTTCCATTACGAATGTCCTAAAGCTTATCAAAACTGTTAACTGCTTGATAGATGACAATAGGTTGGAGGCGATCAGCAGAAAGTGATGCCTAACCAAGATTTCGCGTTTTTTGGTACTCATCTAGCTTGATAGCCAACATTGGAGAATAATCAATAGAATTCAGTTAGCACTCAGGACGACTGGATCACATGTAAAAGGTTGGTCTTCAATGACGAAACAATATATGTAATGCAGTTCTACTGGAAGTCAATCGACACCCAAATAGATCCGTGATAAAGTCACTGACTTTGGCACTAAGTGACACCGGTTCGAATTTCACAAAAGATATCACAGTTCCCTTGATGTTGCAGATATGCCGCCTTGTCAACGAGTCTCCAAACAACCAAGAAACCTAGGCACAGTGCTTCTTATCGATTGTTTCCAACCTAATGTTATTCATCAATGACCCACACCTATTATGTGAGGAGTACTGATGATACTACCTGGTTGCCTAAACCACCACGGTAGGTGAAGTGGAGTTTGAACCGGTGATCCATTTAGTTAAAAGTCATCTCCCAAAACCAATAAGCCACAAATCCCACTTCACAAAGAAGTCCAATCAAAACTGTAAGTGTTTACAAGTAGAGAATTCAAGCAATTTTTTGTTAACCTTGGAAAAGTAGGAAAAGGAAGTGTACTTTTCTAATGAGAAAATTTTTTTTGAAATTATGGATGAGATATATATAACCAGTGACGGTTTCACATCCCACAAGTTATTATTGTGAACTAAGGTTCACGTGCTAACATAAACCTTTTTTAGAATAGCAGTTATATATATATATATATATATATATATATATATATATATATATATATATATATATATATATATATATGGAGAGAGAGATGAATGAGACTGACATCAGTTGGGTAACCATTGAAAACCTGGAAGCATTGGGGAGCTGTTTCGTCCTAGTATGCGACTCTTCAGCAGTACGCACCCACGACCTGGCTAGGGATTGAAATCATGATCTTCAGGTTTCACGGCGAACGCGTTAACTTTTTCAGCCATTGAGTCAGAGCTTGAAACTGTGAGCCAGTGGCTGAAAAGGTTAACGCGTTCACCGTGAAAACTGAAGATTGTGAGTTCAATGCCTAGCTAGATTGTGGGTACAAACTGTTGAAGAGTTCCATACTGGGACGAAACAGCTGTCCAGTGCCCCGAGGTTTTCAATGGTTCCCCAATTGATGTTAGTCCGGCTTTGCCTAACGAGATACAGGCAGTCTGAGGGAATTTAAGTACTGTTAGAGTTGTGACGGCGATTGACACATCATGGTTACCGACACTGTGCAAGGTCAGTTCTCCTCGATGGTGTTTAAAAAAGAATTAGTGAGTGACAACAGAACCCAAAGGACAGTTATGCACAGTCTTTTTGGAAATTCGATAGTTTAGTTTGTTTTATTCAAAAAAGAATTCAAACTGGGATGAGTCAACGTGAGTACGCTCAAGTAGTATAGTTACGCGTCATGAATTCACATGACAGTCAAGTAAAAACTCTTGATGGTTGGAGCGAAATAAAAAATCCGGTCAGCAGTCGGATCTTGTAGCTCAGGTTGTAGAGCACCAGTTCGGAAGCCCAAAGTTCGCTTGTTCAAATTTTATCACGGTTCAAATTTTCATTTCATCTTCTTCAATCATCACCCAGCATCATAATTTCATCAAAACAACATACAGATGTGACTGATGATTCTGTTTTAAAGTAGCTTCAGAGTCATGAATTTTAGTGGCAACAAAATAAAAAGAATGAATATACTTAAATTATGAGTACATGAGGGGAGAGAGAAGGAGAGGTAGAGTGGTTCGACCTGTTGAGTATAGGGTGAATTTACCGACTCAGGTAACATCTATTTATGACTAGTTCAAAAGGTTGAGTTGCTTTTTTCCGATGAGAAGAGAGGATGGATTGTATCAAAACACTCCAAAATACGTCTAGTATGAAGTCTCGTAAGGGAGGTTCAACCGTCTTAAAAATCTCACTTTCGTTGGTTGGATGGAATTGATTATCCACTATTGGTATATAGAATCCTGCGCATATGCCTTGATTATTGTTTTATAGTAATGATGAATACTGACGAGCCGTGACTCGCCACTTATTATTGGTCAAATTGATAACACTCTAGTATTTGGAGCGATCGGTCCTGAGGTCGAGTCCTAGTGGGAACAACATCGCTTACTGGAAGCAGATACATCCAACTGACGAGTCCCAAATAGGAAGAAACGCGCGTCAAGTTGGATCCTACTACTAGCCACCTATCTATCGTTACTAGGCAATGATGAGGCTAAAGAAAAGTGACATCAGTCGGGTATTTATTGAAAGTAACCCACAAATACAGAGTTCAAACGTCTGAGGACATTACGTCCCGTGTCTGGCCCTTGAGTAGAACCCAAATGGGAAACGACGAGTTGGGAGTCCGAAGGTGATATGAAGAAGATCATGTGAGGAAGAAATGAAAGTTTATGGGCAGTCGCGAAGCCAGGTTCAAAAGACTCTAGAGAACAGAATGAAATGGTGACGTACTACTGAAGCCCTATGTTCCACTAGGAACCCAAGGGACAAATAATAGTAATAATAATAATAATAAAAACAGAGTTCAAATACAATTACAACACACATGTATCCTTCATTCCTTAAAATAGGTGTTAACAATTGGGTTATATAAATATACTGGTTTTGATAAAGTATAAAGTGTTGACATTCTCCTCACCTTTGACGTTCAACTTTATACTTTTCAGCCAATTGATTGCATAGGACCGAATTCATTTCCATAAAGATTTTCAACACATTCCCAACTAATGCTATAATAGTTTGATTCCAGTGTTCCCGTGAAATACGATAGAAAGATGGAAATAATATTGGTATCAGAGTATCATGATTTTCTTCAATAAGTGATACGATATTATCATTGTTCCAATAACTGAGTGCTCGTTCAGCAACCTGACAAAATGAAAGTTAAGAAAAAGGATAACATCACATAACGTGGATCTATTTGTAATATATATATCAAGATGGTATTCACCGTAGACTGAACAATGGAAACCTGGGAGCACTGGACAGCTGTTCCATCCTAGTATAAGATTCTTCAGCAATGTGCACCTACGACCCCGGCAGGAGTGATTCCGAAGTTCTAGAGAGGAGTCGTAACCAATGGGGCAAACCTGATGTCCGTGAGGAGAAATACTCAACGATGACATTGGATGGCGGCCGCGCCATGTCGTGAACTGACAGAAGTTGGGAATATAGACCATTCGATTCCGACCCAGTGGCTCAATGGCAACATGCTGGCCACTAAACCTGAAGGTCGCGGGTTCGACCCCTGGCAGGGTTGTGGGTGCGCACTGCTGAAGAGGCCCATACTAGGACGAAACAGCTGTCCAGTGCTTCCAGGTTTCCATTGCTCCTTTAACTGATATATATATATATATATATATATATATATATATATATATATATATATATATATAGCGTCTAAGAGTCCGTGATGGCTGATAACCTATACGTTAGAAAAGGCCGGTGGGTTTCAAAAAGATCAGCCAAAAATGATTGATTCAAGAAAACTCATTCCAGCTGCCTGTGATCACAATGAGGAGCAAAAATAGCACAAACATGACTTGATTAAAATCTTGGCAATGATGGCGAGCAGTGGTGGGTGGTAAAAGAGAAACCGATGAAGAAGGCATTAACAGTAATAATAAGATTATGGTTGCGACATCACAAGGTACCTAAAAACGTGGTGCGGAAAAATTTGAACAGCAATTCAGTTGTCCAGCATCCAGCCCGAAACTGGATGGGGCGGAGATTCTAGTTCTCCAACTCTTTCTGAAGTTGATAAGGTTTTTTCAAATCTGAAACGACGCAAAGCAGCAACCCCTGACAGTTTGTCAGTGGAGGTTTTTAAGTAAGGATATAGGAGATTACTGAGTAGAGTAACGGAGGAAAATGATAGTGTATGCCCATAAAATGTAGAGTTTTCACTCCGGTCTACTTCACTGACCATTCCAGTTCATAAGGAAGGAGAGAAGTCTTCGTGTGATAACCACAAGGGAATTAATTTGATTTACATCGCATCCAAGATCCTGTAGTTCATAGTTATCTGACACGTAACTGGAGATGGCGCGTAGAAAAGTTGAGAAAATCAGGTAGGTTTAAGACATGCTATCACCAATTCTACTTAGCCTTGTAACGAAAGTGATAACAGACATAAACCTATGTACCTTCAACTTCTCAGAGGTTGAATTATTTCCATGAGGGTGCCAACTTCCCTTGGCGCACACAGACGACATTATCATGTTAGGTGAAGACGTTTATAAAATTCAGTATCTGTCGAACACCTTGAGCAGAAATTTAAGTATATTATATTTGGCATGCATTCCACACCTGTCAAATATAGGATGCTGCTTCATAACTGATTTGCAGCTACTCCCAGTTAAATGATACAAATCAAAGTGGTGGAATGCGTTGACTGATATAACGCAAACGGATTAGTTGTTGACGAAATCTCAAATGAGATACAGTAGGGTAGTTTGGTATTTGCCAACTTGCCATCCCTGGACCTGGTGAGATATCTGACTACCTGTTGAGGAACGAGTACACTGGCTGCAGTTCGCTATGTCCTAATACACAGTGGTGAGACAAGGTCGTTGAATTAGAAGATATATACAGCGATAACAGGTATTCCAATATAAGTGTCTTCGCAACATTACTCACGTATGGTGTTATCATCGTGTGACCAATATCGAGGTTAGTCGAAGAGCAGTAGACAATGACGGTTAGTCAGTTAATAAAGTTGTGAATCTTGACGTGCCAAAGTAGGACTAGGTTGGAGAAAGGCACCAGTCCATGAAGCCTTTCACTGTAAGGTGTAGACTGTTTGGTTGAGGCCCTTGATATAAGAGGAATGAACGGTTGGAGACTCTTGATGATATGGTTGAAGATTGGTCACAATGGCACAGATGTATTCAACCCTTGATACGTTCTTAAGCTTTAGCATTTCCACCAGCCATCATTCAAGTTTTTTTCTAGCTTTATATCACTTTTTCTCCCCGATCAGTTCTCTACATGCCGCTGTTGAGTTAACAACTTGAACCGATTCACTAGTGTAAGAGGTTCTACGTTGATTTAGTATTTGTCTGACATCAGACTGAATATAACACCAAATTTCACCAAGAAGAGAATTGCTGTTAAAATCAAGTAAATGGCTAAAGATACCCGCTACCTATTGTAGTCAAGTACATAAAGGCTTTATTTCTTCACGTCTTTCATAGGACCAGTAAAGCATAAATAAACATAAGCCCATTCTGATGAGTGATCCCAGTTCAAGTAGGTACTATAGAAAGGAGGAAGCAAAAAGAGTTGTGGCACCATAACACTAGATGAAAAATAGCCCTGCTAAAAAGTGTTAGTCGTAATACACCTTTGAAATTGTTCTTGTTACAAACATATAACAAAAGCTATTGAAAGCTTTCAAAGTATGCTACACTCCGAGTGAATAAAGCAGTTATTCTCTCTCTCTCTCTCTATGAATGTAAAGTGTGTAACGCATTCTAAATCTTACTCACTCACCTTCCAGTTTCGATTTCCAGAAGACTACCTCACCTCTTCATTGTCCAGCTCTACTGTTCGTCAGTTATCTGTTATTATTATTATTAAGATATAAATATATCCTGAGTTATCGGCTCACCTTTTTCCCTACTTCTTTTCCCTTCCAGATTCTCATGGTAACTACTAAACTCACACTGCTCTACGCGCTTCCTGCAACAACGTACCTACACACACCTGCTTAGCTACCTACCAACAAGATAAACGAAAACGTATCAACAGCCAGGGTCGTTATATGTGCCTCATGAAATTTAGCAACACTACCACGATACGATAAATTATTTTCTTTTTTTTTAGTCTATGAAATAGTTACCAGTTAGTTATACTGAATATAACTTTTACAAGATAAGAAACTTACTTGAAAATGAGAACTTGAAACAGATTTTGCAATTTGCTTAAAAAGTGGAACCATTATTATCTGAAATTGGACAGGTTCAATCACTTCAAGAATCTCTTCAATTTCACCTAAAAACATTACTTCTTTTGAGAATAAGTTTTTGGCCAAAATTTTAACAATCCACGCACAACTTGCTCCGTTAAAGTTGCATCTTTATCCAAGAATTGAACTATGCAATAAGCAAGCTGGAAAAAAATATATATATAATAAAGATTTATTAATTAGAAACATGATTATTATTGTTCAGGTCTAGTGAAAGGAAAACTTGGGATTAATTGGTAGTAAAATCATATATCTCTCTAGTATATGTGTGTTGCATCATTCCTACTACATGTGTTGGGTGTTAGTTGATTCAATGAACAAAGATTCAGTAATCAATCTCTGTCTATCTTCACCTAACTATGTTGGACTGAAGTAGTGGTTGTATCCTACCCACCCTATTGTGTGTTAATGCATTCATTGCAATAACTGAGTTACTTTCTAGATTATTGATCATATTAGGGTTTGTCATTCTATATCTAGCTAAATTTCTATGTTCTACAATGGGATCACCAATATCCCCAATTTTAGTAGTTATATTTATGGATAGTTGGGAACTGTGGACTGTCATTTTACCGAGAATAAATGCCACTGTACAGCTTGATAATGAAGTCATTGAGAAGAAATATTACTTCGCTGATACATGTCTTGTTCTTAAACTGTAAATCATCGAAATCTGACTCAGTACCTGAATGGTTAACGTGTTCGCCGTGAATTTAGCTGAATTCCTAAGTTCCGCTGATCGAACTGATTCCGACCTCGCAGTCATTACTCAGAATTTGACAGATTACACTAGTTTGCTAAATTGGTTCTATGGGATCCTTAAGCCAGCTGCAAGGGTTATCTCTGAGTGAGTTTGTAGGTCTAAATGCCACCCTAATTCCAGATTTGTTGAGGATCCTACGCAAGGTTTCTGATGTGCCTTTTTTTTATAGGGTAACACAATGGAGGCTGTGAACTCCTTTCTACTCGTGCTACTGTTCGTATTTTGTTTCTTGTGTATTCGTACAAATTTCTTAATAAATTGTAGAGGATAATTATTAATTATTAGCACTTCAGTTACTTGTTTAGGTCTTAGCTCTATCACTTAGACATTTGACTAAATCCGCCTTAACTAACATCATCATTATCAACATAGGACCAGGCATTACTGCGTAACGGTCCGAGTTGCCACACCTCATATCAGCACATCAAGTAAAAAGGTAGTGAGGCGAAGGATGAAGATAAGTGAATGCAGTCAAAAGAAATATAAAGTATGAGAAGAAAGGAAAGAGGAGTGACAAAATGGTGAGGTTCGGTATAGCGTTGTTAAGATGAGGATAATGTGTGTATACATCTGCGCCACTGACTTCAGTTCTGAGCCATATCACCTAGGGTCTCCAACCACTGGTTCCTCTTGTCCCGCCGACCCCAACCACCTAGTCTGCATCGTCCTACATGGCTTAAACCAACATTGAGAGACTTCATACATTGGTGCCATGTTTTAGTCTGGCCACCTCGGGCCTTTTTCCAGTATGGACCCACCTCCTTAACTAACATTGGATGAGATGACTTAAAGTCTAGATACCTGTTAGAATGTGTCGGTTTTCTGTAGACGATAGTAGCCAAGCCACCGTCTGTCCATCGTATTATCCTGCAATCCAACATTGGTAATTCTCCTTGTTCATTTTCTATCTCGTCGGGGTCAAGCAGATTAGCGGAACACAGGAATTTAGCTCAATATAGAGAGACAGACCGGAATATGATCAATAATCTATAAATTAACTCGGTTATTGCAATGGATGCATTAACACACAACCACACGATAGGATGGGTGGGATACAATCACTGTACTCAAATTCAATATAATTAGGTAGAGAGAAGCAAAGATTGATAATTGAATCTTTGTCCATCGAATAAACCATCACCTAACACATGTAACAGAAATGACGTAACACTTATACCAGAGATATAAAACATTTTACTACCAATATAAATCAAATCAACAAATCTAGCATGGAGTATGGACATACAACTGCCAACTTCTGATTTCATTTCCAGTCTGGAATAACATACTGGTAATCAGTGTTCAAATGAATTCACCCGGACAACAGTAACGATAGTATATTTCAGCAATATGACGATGAGGTTTTACAACATTATAGACTGTAAGCCAAATCTGAGATTTTAATACCACCTGATGACCTTAATGTGAAAGGATGTGAAAAAGTGAGATTGTAATCCACCACCTGAATACTTGACAACTGAAGATATACATTAGTAAGCGATAACTTTTTTCTTTCTTAGTTCTACATTACATCACCTAAATATGTTGGAAATTTTCATGTAGAAAGTATTTCAGTGAGCTAGGCGAACAATAAAACCCCACTTTGAGTGGGAATTTGAGAATGTTTGGGATGCGATTTTCACCACCCAAATGCAAATTTTTGCTCCAGGACTGGTCTTCAGCGGTACCGCGGTTAACAATAGAGAGTGAAGTGGTTGAGTGTGTTGACCACTTCACTTACCTGGGAAGTAGGATCAACCCAGGTGGGTTAGTTGCCGATGAGATTTCTGCACGGATACAAAAGGCTCGATTGGCTTTTGCCAATTTGCGCCACCTATGGCGCCGCAGTGATATTCGTTTGTCTATTAAGGGTCGCGTGTACTGCACAGCAGTCCGCTCTGTTCTACTGTATGGCTGTGAAACATGGCCACTGAAAGTGGAAGATATAAAAAGGCTTCAGGTGTTTGACCACCGTTGGCTTCGTAGTATAGGACGTATTCCGTGGTGTCACCATGTGAGTAATGCAGAAGTCAGGTGTAGAGTTTTGGGGAGAAGAGGTAAGTCAGTTGACGAGGTTGTGAACCTTCATCGACTGAGATGGCTGGTTGGGACACGTACTACGCATGCCCAGTCACCGATTGTCTCATCACACAATGTTGGCTGAGGTGGGTCCAGGCTGGAAAAAGGCCCGAGGTGGCCAGACTAAAACATGGCACCAATGTATGAAGTCTCTCACTGTTGGTTTAAGCCATGTAGGACGATGCAGACTAGGTGGTTGGGGTCGCGGGACAAGAGGAACCAGTGGTTGGAGACCCTAGGTGATATGGCTCAGAACCGAAGTCAGTGGCGCAGATGTATACACACATTATCCTCATCTTAACAACGCTATACCGAATCTCACTATTTTGTCACTCCTCTTTCCTTTCTTCTCGTACTTTATATTTCTTTTGACTGCATTCACTTATCTTCATCCTTCGCCTCACTACCTTTTTACTTGATGTGCTGATATGAGGTGTGGCAACTCGGACCGTTACGCAGTAATGCCTGGTCCTATGTTGATAATGATGATGATGATAAACGTTTTAATATCAAAATTTTGAGAATAGTGAAAAACACAACCGACTGTAATGAAATATGATCGAATTTATTACCTTCTAAAATAAATCTAATTATCTCATTAAAAAAAACCTGTTGATTACAATAAATTTTTCATATTTCTGAAGTATATTAATCTTTTATAGAAGCATTTTTAAATCTTAGGAAAAAAACAACTTAATACCTGCCCTATATAAGCATTCAGATGGTTTTTCAATTCAAAATGCCTATCTAGCTAGTCATATGATTTTCTAGACATTCATTAACTACGAACTGAAGGCATACTGACGACGTAAATGAACAGTTACTTGAAGACACTCATACATATACACAGTCCTACTTTACATAGAATTACAACCATTTTGGATGCCAAATTCTACAAACACACAAAGATCCTTCAGGATCAAAATTTGATCTGATAGAATTGAATAAGCTTAGAGAGAAAAAAAAGGACTAGGTTGAAGTGTATAACAGGAAGGTATTTGAATAAATGAAAGCGAGTAAAAGAGTCTAAAGTTTTGATGATAAAAACATCGTTCATCGTAACATTCCTATTTTTTCAGGTGTTCTAATTTCGTCTGGCTGCACAGCTCAATAGTAAAGCAGTTAAACATAACACATCAGTACAGTTAAAATAGCTTCGTGAAAACAAAATATCGAAAATGAATGCAAAATTAGGGTGAGAAAAGAAGTTGATATAACTCGTTACGCTATATAGAAAAACAAGAAGTCTTTATAGCTAGGCACAGTTTGAAGAACCAACAAAAATTTGCCATACTCAGTAGTAAAAATGCAACAAACAAATGGGTAGAAAAAGATGGATAACAAAGTAGACAAAAATGTATGGAATAAAAAAGAATTTGAAAATTTAAGGTTGGTGAAAATCTTGAAGCCTTCGAAGATGTCAAAGAGTGAATACACGTGAGCTATTGTGACCAACTTTCAGCCATGTCATCAAAGGTCTCCAACCGTTCATTTCTCTTATCTCAAAGACCGCAGTCACAAACTTCATGGACTGGTGCTACATCTTGATCTGACCACCTTGAGCCATCTTCTAATCCGATACCAACTCGGTTATCATTGTATATCGAGGTTCACAAACTCATCGACTGACCTGGCATTCTTGCCCAGTGCTCTTCGACTAACGTCGACATTGGTCATACGTATTCGAATATCTGCAATCTCTTCATACCTTCTACTTTAATGACTATGTTTCAAACCTGTGTGTTAAAACAGAACGAACTGCAGCACCGTATATTCGTTCCTTAGACAGTCAGACAAGATTAACACACGACTTCGTGACAATTCCAGTTGCCGCACCTCGTGTCAACACATTGAGCGAGAATTCACTTACATAAAACATAAAGAAATGGGGTCAAAGTGGTAGAAATTTATTAAAAGAATGACAAAATACTGAAATTCACTCTGGTGATTAAGATAAGAATAATATTTGGATACACCTGCTCCACTGAGATCGACTCTGAATCACACCATCTAGACTCGAACCACCAGTTCCTATTAGTACACGGACCACGACTGGGAAATCAACATTCCCCTACACGGTTCAAACTAACAATCAAAGACTTTATACATTGATCCCAAGTTACAATCTGGCCACTTCTAACCTTTTTCCAGCCTGAATGTAATTCACGTCACATTGTGCGACAAGGAAGACGGTGGCTAGGCATGTATAACACATATCCCAGCCAACTGAGTTGATGAAGCTTCACAATCTCATCCAACTAACCTTACTCTTCTCTACAATACCTTACCTCGGATTCTGTG